GGTTGTTAGTGACCAACTGGGTTTCTAGAACCTCCTGGGCGTCCTTCTTGTGAGTTAACTAGTAAATCAGGTACTCGCACTCCCCTGCTTAAAGCTCCGTGTAACACCCTGTCACATATGGTAGCCACAGTCTACACAGAGCTCTTTTTTTTTTTCTTTTGAACAGTTACTTTTATTTTTTTTTAATTTATTTATTTTGATTGGAGGCTAATTACAATATTGTAGTAGTTTTTGCCATACACTGACATGAATCAGCCATGGGTGTACATGTGTTCCCCATCTTGAACCCCCCTCCCCACACAGAGCTATTAAGCATCTGCAGTGTGACTGACCTTGGCTGAGATGTCCTGTAAGTATAAAATACACGCCAGGTTTCAAAGATGTAGCATGAAAAAAAGAATGGAAAACATCTCAATAATATTTTGTAGGGGCTTCCCTGATAGCTCAGTTGGTAAAGAATCTGCCTGCAATGCAGCAGATTTGATTCCTGGGTCAGGAAGATTCTCTGGAGAAGGGATAGGCTACCCACTCCTGTATTCTTTGGCTTCCCTTGTAGCTCAACTGGTAAAGAATCTGCCTGCAATGTGGGTAGACCTGGGTTTGATCCCTGGGTTAGGAAGATCCCCTGGAGAAAGGAATGTTTTATAGCATGCACAGATGGATATGATACCAATTCAGATATACTGGGTTAAATAAAATATAAACAGATTACCTTTCTGTAAATGTTTTGAATGTGACTATTAGAAAGTTTTAAATAGCATATGTGGCTCACATTATATCTCAGAGGGAAAGCACTGATCTATAGTTTCTCACTGTCCTCAGAAAAGAATTTAAACTCCTTAGCAGTATCCAAAGTGATTTGGTCCCCCCAGGTTTCCTCACAAATTCTCCTTGTCCCTCATTATTCTCCAACCACAGTGGCCCTATGATCCCTCAGACACATCAAGCCCATGCCCACCTTAGGGTCTTTTCATGCATGACATCATCCTTCTGGAATGCTCTTTCCATGGTGCTCTACCCATTGCCATGCTGACTCAAACTCCCTCTTCAGATTTCATCTCAAACATCACTTCAGCCAGGCCTTTCTGGACCACCTGATCTCAAGGGATCACACATCCAGTGATTCACCCCTCATTTCCTCCGAGGCCCTCACTGCCATTCTTAGCTACCTCATCTGATGATCTGTTCACCTGTTCCATGTCAGTCTCCCCCGGTGGAATAGAAGCTGTGTGAGGGCAGGAAACTTTCTGGTCTTACTCAGTCAATGTCGTATCTTCAGCTCAGGGCTCCACCAGTTATAGTTCTCAGCTCAGTGTTTGTTGAATGCATGAATGAACAGGGAAAAGAGCATGAAACTCAGAGTCAAAAATTCCACTTAGGACAAACCCAGTGACGTGGAGGATGACACCACCATCTTGCTCCAATTGCTGACTCTTACCCTGCAATCAATCCTCTACAGTCACTATAGGAGGCAGTGCAATAAGTAAAAGGACACCGTCTGGAGCTAAAATCCCTGAGTTTGAATTTCAACTCTGCCATTTGCTGGAGTGTGACCCTGCAGGGAGCCCTTGACTGTCCCAAATCTCCATTTTCTCCCAGAGGTATAATTAGAATTATTAGGAAATGATTAGAATTATATCATGGTTATCTTGAAGATCAAGTAAGATAACAGCTTTGTCAGTCAGAGTCCCAGTGACATTTATCAGACCAAGACATTCTTGAAGGGGAAGGATTCTTTTATTTATGTGGGTGTCCTCAGCACCTAGAACAAGGATTGGCTTAAGGCAGATGCCCCAAAACTACTTGATGGATGAATAAAGTTTCTAAAAAAAACCAAGCACTGCAAAGCAATGAACCTTGGGGAAGTCAGATCTCTCCACTGTTCCAACCTGGAAAAGATACCCTATTTTCAGATACCCCATTTTCCTCCAAACAGAAGCAAAAGGATCCTAGACATGGAGTGAGGCTTAAGATGTAATGGGTCCTATTTCCTCCATCTTCCAGAAGAATCCCAATTATAAGAGTCTCTCCAGGTGTCCAGACAAAACTGACTATAGATCCCCTGAAACTTTTAGCTTGAGAGGAGGATTTAAAAAGTCAGAGTCAGCATCTTCAGCTGGGGACAGAACAAGCTCCAGAGGAGTAGGGAGCAGCTTTCTGCGCATGACAGTTTCTTTACTAGGAAAAGAAAAAAAAGACGAGGCCAGGGTGCTTCACAGGTAAAGAATTCACCTGTCAGTGCAGGAGACATTCCTGAGTCGGGAAGATCCCCTGGAGGAAGGCATGGCAACCCACTCCAGTATTCTTGCCTGGAGAATCCCAAGGACAAAGGAACCTGGCGGGCTTTGGTCTACAGGGTTGCAAAGAATCAGACACGACTGAAGCAACTTAGCAGGAAAAAAGACAAGGCCATCCCAGCGGTAGCTTTTGATTCTTACATTCTCAGAAATAGCCACAGTATCTGCCTCCTTGATTGAAACTGGGGCCAAGGATAAAAAATAAGGAGAGGGGAAGAGGGTCTTATTTGGAGCTAATCGTTGTTAAAGTTCATAAAAGTCAAACTATTCCATGAAATGATAATTTTTCAAGATGGGGCAAGGAGTGTGGCTGGGAAGAGAGTGGGAAATGACTTCACTGGGCAGGCTTCTGCCTATTTTGCAAAGGATAAAGCTTGCCTTTGTTGTTCTTCTGGCTTCTGTTCCAGTAGCTCTGAAGTATAAAGGCTTCTGGCAGAACATCCCAGTTTCAACACCATTGTTCCTGGGCTTTGCTACTGAAAGGGCTATTCACATGGAAACCTCTCCCAGGCCAGACTTCCTTTGGCTACCATTTACTTACACCCTGGTTAATCATGCAGCCCACCTAGGAAGTTTGGACAAACCAGACCAGGGATGGCACTTGGCCGTCTCTCCTAGTCCCACCTTGCCAACTCACTGCTGATTAAAAGCTAGAGCCAACCTCCATTCATTCCACCGACATGTTCTGAGCATTGCTTGCGTGCTAGGTGTTGCAGCTACTGGTAGGGGCAAGGGAGACGAACATTGATGATAGCAGAAATCCACGAAAGAAGAAAAAGATCATTCTTCATGTTGGAAAAGAGGAGTCATAAATAGAAAGCCCTTTCCAGAATGTGAAAAAGGAGCCACAATTAGGGATTATGGGATCCCAAAATCAGATTTGGGATCATTGAAGATGATGATGTGTTAAGGTCCAATTAGCAGGCTTCCCTACTGGCTCAGTGGTAAAGAATTTGCCTGCCAATGCAGAAGATACAGCTTCCATCCCTGATTCGGGAAGATCACACATGCCAATGAGCAACTAAGCCCATAAGCCACAACTATTGATAGAGCCTCTGCTCTGGAGTCTGGGAGCTGCAACTACAGAACTCCAAGTGCCCTAGAGTCCGTGCTCCCCAACAAGAGAAGCCACCACAGACAGCAGCCCCTGCTCACCACAACCAGAGAAGAACCCACACGGCAATGAAGACCCAGCACAGCCAAAAGAAAAAAAAAGAAAAGAACCAATGGAAGGTGTCTTTAAGGAAAGCACCTCCAGTAAGAGAAAAACTCCTACATAGTGACCTGCAGCTCCCCATTCCCTTCACATCAGGCCACACCTTGTATCTGAAGCCACTCTGCATTCTCCTTACAACCCAGGTTTTAGTCTGCTTGAGCCCTGGTTTCCAGCAGAGGGTGACAGGAAGTCACCTCATGACAGAGTATTCTGGCTGTGAAAAAAGGTGAATAAGGGACTGTGTTTAATCCTCTGTCTAGGCTAGAATAATGCCTTTAGGACCCCCGGTCTGTGGAACTGGCTTAATAGATGTGGGTTTATAGGCAGACAGTGTGGCAGTGAGTCCTAGTAGATTTTGACTTATCGGACTTGCGAGATGTTGCAAGAGACTTCATCCCAAGGATATGAGAAATCTTGCTTGTCCAGACCTGCATGACCCAATTAATCTGAAAAAAAAAATTAATTTCTTAGTTTATGGCTTGTTATCCTGAGCACCTTCCACCCAGGTGAAATCTCACCCTCCCTCTCCCTGGTTAAAGCCTCACTGAAAAGTCCAGCTTTGAACCTTTGACCCTCTCTGATCCTATTCCCTCATCTCTTAAATGGGAGTGATCATCATCAACATCATCATGTTATAACAACACTTGTGATGATTATGAGATTGTAATGAGAAAATAGGACTCCAGGAGTGAAGATGTACATGTTGGCATTTATAAAATCAGGACAGTGTTCTCTCCCTCCCTGAATCGGGACGATTTACGTGAAAGCAAGTTATAAAGGCAGACGAATACTTTACAAACATTAATTTTAAAGAAACCACCACTCACTGGAATTTCACCTCCTCTCCGGTGATTGGAAAACTTGTCCAGGTTTGGGAAAAGCTAACCAGCTGAGTTAAGCTGCCGCCTACACCACCTGCCCGCCCCCACTGCCCTCGCACCCCCCAGACGACAAGGCAGAACGGGTGGGCAGGGGAACACAGCTCAGCATTTATTTTTGGACCCAGCTCACTAAAAATACCCCAAGCCTCCCTGTTTGATCACTCTCCCTTTTGACCTGAATGGATCGCGGGGCCCCGGCGGCCCGCCCCACCCTCGACCCGTTGTCCTTTAAAGGAGAAGGGCGTGGGGACGGATTCCTGCCGCTCAGGGACAGATGTGCGCCACCCGGACAAGCAGGGGCCGCGGCCCCACTGACGTCAGGGAGGCGCTCACTCGGCCGCAGCCTCCCAGCCGGGCCGAAAACCCGAAGGGTGGGGGGGACCCGCGCGCTGGGATTGGCTGGCCAAGTGCGGGCGCCCGCGCCGATTGGCTGGCGAGGTTTTAGAGGGAGTCCCGCTCTCCAATTAAAGGGCCCCGCCGCACCCGGCTGCGCACAGAGCTCCCCCTGGGCCAGCGATCTTAGCCATTCAAGCACAGCTGTCCCCACTGCACGCCCTCGCACCTAAGCCTGAGCAGCCAGGCGCTGTCTGTCCACTCCAGAAGAGGATGGCAAAGGTGGCCAAGGACCTCAACCCGAGAGTTCAGAAGGTGAGCTGAGATCTGCCTGTACTTAGGCAGACTCCTTCTTTTCCCATTTCCCTCTCCTGTTTGAAGAGGCTTTCCTAGATGTATGGAGAAGAAAATTCACTAAATTCCAAGACTTTATAGAAAATAGAATCGTTGGGAATACAGGTTTGAGCTAACAGGCACGTACCCCAAATGCTACTCTTAAAAGCCTTTGTGTAAAGTATTTTTGCAAAGGATCTTAGTTCTTTGATGATGCCAATTAAAATTTAAATAAGGTAAAACTTTTTTCTTAAATGTTAACCTTGTGCTTTTGGAGGAGTGGGGAAGGAACCCTACCCTCCTCCTCCACTGGTTGAGGTGAAGGTGGGAAGGGGTAATATTTACTCACAAGGAATCTACTCCTTTGCTCTCATCCCAACATTTTCTGTTTTTCACACACACATACAAAGAAACCAGTTTCTTTAGTTGGTGATGTTGGCAGTGGCAACAGTTCCAGCACACGGGAACTAATTTCTGTCTCCAGGGTCTTCACTTTTCCCTTTCAAGAAGGGCTGGCTGGGAGCCCAGAAGGTCACGGGTGAATGACTGCCCAAGGGGCCTGCAGCTGTGCCCTTAGCTCCAATCCTTGATGGTTACTTACCTGCACACAGTGTCGGGGGGGGGGGTAGACATAGGCTAGGGGCTAAGAGGACCTGTGAACTAGAAGGAAGCCCAGAGACAGCCTAGACCAGTGAAGAAACTGAGTCTCAGGGTCACAGAGAGTTGGTCCTGGGAGGCAGTGGAGCCTATGGAAAAGCCTTAGGCATGGAAACCCCAGCTGTGCCACTTTCTAGCTGCACCACCATGACCAACCACGACCATCACCTTTCTGAGCCTCAGTTTCCTTGTCTCCCATAGAGGGATGTTAGGCCCCGCCTCCCTCACAGCAGCAATAATAGCTATGGTACCCCATAGTGCTACCTCCCAAAGTAGTTATTTTTAAACTTAAACTCTGATTTCAGGGAAAATCAGAGTTTTGGTCTTTCAAGGCAAAGTCCCCTGTAAACATTTGCTATTACCTGGGCAAGACAGGATAGAATGAGAGGAGGAAGGAAAATGAAAAACTATGTCAGAATCAAAATGCAAGTCAGCCACTTAGAGGTGCAGGATTTACGCATCTGATTTACGACTGTACCACTGCAAGGCTGACCTGCCCCAGACTCCCACAGAGTCCTTCAGACCTTATGAATGTGTACACCAGGGCAGACTTCATCCAGAGAGCATCTCTCTGGAATGTTCCTGCCCCCCCCCACCCCCACCCCTGCTTCACAGTTGCCATACTGTTCGCAGAATCCAGTCATCTCTCCTCCTGAATTCTCACAAGACCTTGGTAAACTACTTGTCCTGTTAATTTCTACCTACTAGTGAGTCAGGCACGCACTGCTCTTACTTTTCTACTCATCTTTCTAAATTCCTTGAGGGACAAACCTTTCTTACTCATCTCTGTTCCGAGGCAGCCTGCCACGCACAGCATGACTCAATAAACTATGAGTGAACCAGCTAAGACCATAGTGTTCACGGACAGTACAGTTTGTGTGTTACTGTTTTCTAACTTGTGGCAGCTCCAGCATATTTGTGTGTCTGAACTGCCTCCCCAGATTCAGCCAAAGTAAAAGAGTTAAGAGCGAAAGGGCCAGTGCCTCACCATCCAGCGGCACATCAGATGATTCAGGGTGGTTTTATTACAAGCTGATGGACAGTTAATGTGTGAAGGGAGACAGGAGACACGGAACCTCTCTCCTCAGCACAGCCCAGGTCGCCACTCAGAGGAAGCCTTGTTTGTATTTTCCTTTGCATGGGAGAGTGTGATTATCCGGATTAGAGGTGGAACACAGTCTCCTACTTGTCACCCTCTAGTGCCAACTTCCTTGCCCTGCAAAGGGTTTATTTTCCATTTAGATCCAATTACAGGCTTAGTGAAAGAATGTGGTGGGTATAGATGAAAGGGCGGATATTTTTTACCCCTTGGGACTGTGACAGTCAGGAGGAGCATCACCACATGGGTGATGAACCCAGGTCCTCCACTCAGAAAGCCGAAGGAGGGGAAGGGAATGGGGGGGAATCTCTCCTTGCTGAGGTGTATATCGGCAGTTAAATGTTGGGTTGTATCAACAGCATGCTGCAGAGCTTTTATGGCATATTTACTTTTTAAATCTGCAACAGTGGTGGGTTTGCTAACATTTGGCTTCAGGAGGCATAATCACACTTAGGCATTTTGAAGCAATTTCATAGACTCTTAGAGCTGCAAGGGACCGATTTACAAAATGAGAAATGGTTTCAAATGGCCTCCGTGAGGACTCCGCTGCCCAGCACCCAAAGGGAGGGGGACCACAGGGAATCCCTAGAACTGGAAAGTCAGAAAACAGTCTTTGAGAGAGAGAACACTGAAATCCCCAAATTGGGGCAGCCTTTGAGATCATCTCCCCAAATCCAGGCAGACAGAGGTACTGGCCGTGGGTCCCATCCTTAGTTCATGTCAGAGTATAGAAACAGTTCCTTCCCTCTTCCCATCTGCACTGAGCCAAATGCTCCCATTGGTTACTCTTGAGCCCTGGTTTGTTTTTCGACTGGGAAAAAGGTTTCCTAGCATGGAGATTTTGCTCCCTGAGAATCAGGAACTAGCCAACATTCCCTGGTAACAAAAAGCCTGGAAGATCAAATGCCATTTCTCTTGGTGGAATCAACTACCACTGTGGGTGTGTTCTTCTCTGGTTTACTAAGTCATCAGTATTCTTGTAACCAGATTGGGGTTCAAATCCCAGCTCCACCACTTACTAGCTGTGTGCTCCTGTGCAAGCTGATTAACTTCTGAGTCTGTGCCCTCATCTGAAAACTGAGGAGACACTGAAAGCATCTCCCTCCATAAATGAGCTGATGTATACAAAGGGCTCAGCAAGGTGAGTGCAAGTGGACTTGGCCATTGTTATTGTCAGTGGTGGTGGCTGTATATTTCAGTGAGCGTGTGATTGCTGAAAGGAGTCTTTTGGTGAATGAAGGACACACTTTTCTTCTTCAGATGACTGGCCCATCTGAAGAGCAACTAATTTTCATTCAGCTGAACGAAAGCCAGCGGCCTTGATAACCTAGAACAGTGACCGATGACCTTGTCTTCATTCTAGCCCAACACATACAAAATCTGCTTACACAACAGAGATCATCGGTCAGTGAGCATTTCACTCTGGAGTCCTGGAATAGTTAGGCCTGGAAGGAGACATGGAGCTCTTCTCACTTTATAGATATAGAAACTGAGACCCAGAGCAGCCAGCTCCCTTCTCTGAGACTGCTAAGAAGGTGGGCTGGGACCCAGTAGTCTCTGCAAGAATACAGGCTTTTGGCTGCCAAAGAACCATTTGCAGGAATTTAGAAAGGACTAGAACAAAGAGATCTGAGAGCATGTTCACTGCTGCCTGTGTGCCTGCCAGTGGACCGGCTCCAGAGGGTTCTATTTCTCACCCCTCAGCACAATGTCCGAGGAGCATGAAAGGATGGTTCGCCCAAGTGCATTGCCAGGATCAGCTGGGCGTCTCCCTCCACCCTTCTCCACATCACGTCCCTCTTGGCCTTCCTGTCCTCCAGCTTCGCCCTCCCCCCTGTACTCAGCCCTTCCTGCTTTCACCTCCAGTTCCTGCCGTGTGCAAAACTGCTGGCACACGGCCTGGGTGAGCCGATCCAATGTCAACACGGCTCCTCGAGAATTGTCCTTGGCTCCCTCCATCTTAGAAATATATTAAGCTGTCATTTAACGACTTTAATAGCCAAATCATTGGAGACATGCCCATAGGTGTATAAGCAACTTGGCCCAAAGAGAGCCATATTAAAAAAGAAAGAAAGAAAGAAAGAAAGAAATTTATCCAAGTCCTTAAAGTTCTCCCCAGATGGCTGAAGCCATTACTTGTACACTGAAGATGCTTGTCATGTCGCACTAATGTATTCACATATGTGGGGTTAGGGTTGACTGTTGACTTGCACCAATACATCTGCCCCCTGAGGTGGTGAGGGGCAGGGAAAGGTATCTCACAGATCAGCTCTAGGCTTTATTCTAGCCATCTCAGCTCCAAGACCTTCTCAGGGCCCAGGGCTGACTAACAGTTCTACAAGCAGGACATGGAGTGACTTTGGCATTCCCCTCTGAAGATCCCACAGTTTGATCTCCTCTCCATGTTAACTGGCCAGAGGTGACGAGGGAGAAAAAGAATGAGCTGGATTCAGCAAAGGATGGGGACCAGGAGAAGGGGCAGATGTGCAGACTCACATGGGCATCTTTCTTTCCCTCCCCTGCCCTGGCCACTTCTGGGGAGGGTTGGATCAGGAGCAGAGAAGTCAGGGAATAGTTCCTCTTGTAACCCACCCTCTAGGTGGGCTCCAACAGAGAGTTGCCATTTGACTTTTCAAGGGAGAATCTTTCAACTTGCACATTCAAAATAGTGTGTTTGTAATAAAGTGGAAATTGGTCCTGAAAGCATAAACCTTGGTAGTTCTTATCTCCCCCATGTTCATCCAACACCACTGAAGTATGTATGATAAGCAGAATTTTCTGGCAGGGAGCCAAGTTGTCACAGTAACTGCAAGCATTTACTGGTGACTTTGGACAGGTCGCTTTTCCTCAGAAGGGGCCGACTTTGAATGACGGCTGGGAACTTCGTTCCTCCTGCCATCCACTGACCTTTTCTGGACCCCAGACTGTCTCCTAAATAACAAATGATTCTGGGAAAACAGGACACAAGCGCCATTCCATTGAGAGCAGAACTGGGGAAGAGCTTTCTGAGACCTCCACGAGAAAGAGACAGCTGCTGCTCTCTAAGTGCCTTCATTTGGAAATAGCCCCCCTTCCCTTTCGTTTGCTGATTAGGAAGGAGATTAGGCTGGCAGCTGCTGCTATGATCTCACCAGGTGCAGGGCCACCAACCACCTCTATAGGAGACCCTCGAGGTGGTATCATTTCCTTCACTTCCCGTGCAACTTTCAGTCCTGAACCCATTCCT